TTTAGGTTATTGTTTTGCTTTGTTTTGTTTTGTTTTTGGTACCGAGGATTGAACTCAGGACCTTGCACTTGTGAGGCAGATGGCGACACCACTGAACTAAATCCCTGGCCCAGGAAATGAATTTTGAAATTTGTGCTGGGCAAGGTAGCACACACCTGTAATCCTAGCGCTTGGGAAGCTGACACAGGACGATCACTGCAAGTTCAAGGCCAGTTATATAGTGAAACCTTGAAACCTTGTCTCAAAAATAAATAAATGTAATTAATTAATTAAAATATTGAAATAAAGATTCACTCAATAGCTAAAATTTAAACAATTTTAAGTGCTGCCATGATCTGGAGTAACTGGAAATCTCACTTTGTTGGTAGAAATACAAAAGGGTAAACCACATTAGAAAAGATCTAGCAGATATTTTAAATAAAAATCGACCATATACCTACCCTACAACTCTAACAATTTTATCTTTAGGTATTTTACTGAAGAGAAATGGAACAAAAAAGCTACAAAGACATATAAAATGTACATGATTCATTATATTAGCATTATTCATAATAGCTAAAAATTAGAAATAGACCACTCACCTGTGAACAGAAAAAAAGTGGATATATTGGTATTCCTGTAAAATGGAACACTACTCAGCAATGAAAAGGAATGAACTAACATCACTGGTATAAGATATACTGACATGATGAACGCCTTGATATGATGCTCTGAGAATGACACAATATAATTCATGAGCTTTCTGGTCAAAAATTACAAGAAAAGAGCAGACAAAATTAAACTGGGGGATATTCTACAGAATAACTAGTACTCCTCAAAGAAGTAAGATCATGAACAAGATAGGACTGAAAACTGTCACAGGAGACTAAGGGAAAGACTAAAGACTGAAAGGAGGCTAAGAAGAGATACCTAAATGCAATTTGAAGTTCTGAGTTAGACCTTTAAGAACAGCTACAACAAATTAGTAAGAAAACAAAATTGAATGAGGTAAGATTAGAATAAAGTTTGTAGTTTAAGGATATTACAAAAATGTTATGAGTTTTAATAACTATATGTGCTGTACAATTCCACCTATATAAAATTCTAGAAATAGTAAAATTAACCTACTGTAAATAAATGAAAACAGTAGTTGCCTGTGGTGATGGTGGAGTAAGAATTACCA